ACGTAACAAAGTAACAGGATGAAACAGACGACGCCTACATTCTGAAGTTTCAGTTAGTTTTGGCACAGAAACAGCCGGTAGAAATGTCCTTCAGAGAACAAGAGAGTACTTTTTCATTTTATACTTTAAGTACATTTCAAAGCTGCTTCTTTTTCACTTTTTCTTGAGTAAAGAAATTGAATCAGTACTTTAACTAGAGTCTTTTAGTATCTGTACTTCTACTTGAGTACAGAATGTGTGCACTTTTGGCACCTCTGATCATTACACTATGTACACGACCAAGAAACAATGGCTGGTTGACTTCCTGTCTGTCACCACTGTCATATCTAGGTAAAAACAAGACTGAGAGCCTACAGTCATGCTCGTATCTCTGTGAGACTGTACTTAGGCACAGCAGTGCTTTTATCTAAATGCTAACATTAGCATGCTGACGTGCTCACATTGACTATACTAACACGCTGATGTTTTGCAGGTATTATGTTTACCCTATTCACCGTCTTAGTTTAGTGTGTTAGCATGCTAACATTTGCTAATGAGCACTAAACACAAAGGACAGCTGTGGCTGATGGGAATGTAATTAGGACACGGTCAAAAACTTGCTGCTCCTTCATTACGAGCCGCTGTCAGTGCCCGATCCATACTTCCTGCCCCGATGTGTACTGCACATGTGCAACTCCAAATGTAGCACTCGAAGCAATCCAACACATTTGATGCACTTGTGTGCTACAGTTGTGGGCTTGTACCCACATGGTTGAATGCATTTATTGAAAGTCGCTTTAGATTAAAGTGCCAGCTAATTTAATATGTTGTGAATAAATTTATTATGGCGCTAGACTAAATGTCAGTGGGTCACCACACTTATTACAATTCATCCTAAGGGTCTGAAACCAATTTCATGAGATAGATAGTAGTTGAGACATTTCAATCAAAAAAAACAAACAAAACCCATCAACCTCAAAGTCAGGTATCACCTAAGTCATTAGCATTCATTTTCTGGGCACCATGGATATCTATACTAAAAATGTCATGATAAGAGAAGAGAAAAAAAAAAAAAATGAGAAGAAAAACAAAACATTTGCACACATTTACATTTCTAATAAATAATGTCCCTATACAAGTGTGTGAGTTATTCAGCCTTACCATGAGTCCCACAAACATTTAATTGACTTCCACTGTACTGTGGTGGTCTCAGAACATAGAAACTATATACACTAAAGAAAAGTGAGATTTCCTGTATTATTTGGGTGAACCTATCCTTTCAGAACAAGACAGCCAGTTCCTGACACTGATCTCTCTCTGTAGGGGACTGATGATGAGGGAGCCTGTAGACGAGCAGGAAGGGGACATAAAACAGCACGGTGTGAGTATGGTGGGGGAATAACTGCTCACACCTCCGCTGGGAGACCTGAAATGAATTGTCCTCTCATTCAGGGGGTGTGAGGCGTCATGCTGGGTCATGTGTTGCGTCAGTGGCTCCCAGCACCAACCTTTGCGCCACAGTCTGAGCTCAAAGTCTGCTTCAGGATTTCAGAATAGACACACGATGCATGTTAATAATCTGTGGGAAACATGGAGAGGCAAAGCAGTGGGATGTTCCAGGACTGCTATGCTGAATGTCAGTGTTTATATATGGAGCAGCGGTAACCACCAAGTGCGTCGTGCATGCCGCCCTTCAAAGCCAAAAAGCAGCAACTGTTTTGTCGTGACACTGGAAACAGAAATAGATTAAAGTCCATCTTCTTTTCTGACAGTATGAAAGCGGATACGATGTACCGGTTAAACTCTAATCAGGCCTTTTGACCTTTAAAACACACACAAATGTTATGCTGTTTTGCTTTTCATTACCGGTATTCTGTATGTGTATGTGTTTCATGTGTACAGTACATCTGTGTGTGGTCTGAGCAAGACAGCAGGTGCTCAGATGAAAATCTAAATGAGAACAGACTCAAGAGGCTTAGCGGATTACAGAGTTGTATTGTCTTTACACAAAATGTTACATTTATATTTGAGCAGCAGACCTTAAGGAGAGGAACTAAGGGACTGTAAAGGTGACTCAGTGGTTCATATTACACAGACCTGCACTGTCATACAAGTACAGACAAGTGCTGAGGAGGAAAACACAGGCATCATAGACGGACAGACACTATTTATTTAACCTAGATACATTTTGGTTTTGGTTGGAAGACATGAGTTTGCCAGCATTTATGATTGAATGTGAAGCAAGGCTGGACATCTGCAGCAGAATGTGTTTCATGTTCATATTCATGTAACCTATTAGCGGTCAGTGGAAGTTATACATAGGGCAGGTGGAACAGTGGTGTGGTGGAAGATTGATTCACAATTTATTAACACATACAAGTAAGTGTTACGTATCTCAAATATCGGAACATGACTGTTTTTTGTAGTAATTTCATATATTGCATTATATTGTACATATAATATTGTTTCAACCTGTCTTTCTTGTGTCACTTCAAGTTGTATTTTATATGCATGCACACACCGACACAATCACAAGTCATAATCTCCATTCTCTACCCCAAAACTTGTATGTTTGATATAGTATAGCTAGTTTAATAAAAAAAAGAAAAGCGTGTGTCTGTACATTAGTGTCTGAAACAATGAGTCGATTAACTGAGTGGCTGAACGACATAAAGTTAACCAACAACAGTTTCAATAACCAATTAATTATCATTTATCAAGCTTCCCAAATGGGACAATGTGCTCTTAATTTCTGTTTTATATCATCATATTAACGACCTTTGGTTTGAGACTGTTGGTCTTTGATGCCGTCACCAACATTTTATCCTCATCAAACAATTGTCAATCAATTAGAAAATAATGAATGAATGATGCTGCCCTACTTGGCTCACTAGCTAAAAATCATACACTGACCTTAATTTTTAAAACACAGCTGACAAAAACACATTCACTGTGTTTGTGCAGACATGCTTACACTGTGTGTGTGTGTGTGTGTGTGTGTGTGTGTGTGTGTCAGACTCACTACCCCCTCTCCACTCTCCCTTTATGGTGGGGAGATTAGGTGGTTAATCCTGTAGATCTCAGAGAAAAAGCCACTCCTGATGCCACAATGGATTTCTCTCAGGCCACCAGAGAGAGGACAGACCTGCTGCCGATATGCATCTCGACCTCTGACAGAAACAGGGCACACACACACACACACACACACACACACACACACACACACACATAGGCGCACACACAAGGCAGAGCACTTCAAGGACAGGATATTATATTACATATGTATTAGGTGCACACTATAAATAACCCCACAACCATATTGAACTAATATGAAGCTGTCATGTCTTTTTCCAACTCCTTATGATAATACTTACTCTGTACTTACTACATATGTTACAGTATAGATACAGTAAAGCAGTGATATTGACATTCTTCACTCTCCATGACAGCACTGGATACTGATTGGCTAATTTATTGATTAAGTCATTACAGAAGGATGACCAGCCCCATCACCTTGTCACATCCTCTAAGTCACTAATCACTTCCAATGGACTGACTCTCACCACGGATGACTGCAAATATAAACAGGTTTGTTCTGAATATTACTGTGAATCCAAGAAGACCTAAGTTGACTCTAGCTGTCCTGTTGTTTATTTCTTAACTGGCCCTGACCTTTGACCTTCCCAGACATGGAAGGCGGAATAAGAATTTTCCCTTTTCCCGATCAATAATGTTTCATGTTTTTATTTGTTGGAAAATGTTTGATTGAGCTGCTCAATTAAAATTCTACAGCAGCTAAACAGAAACTGAAAGCTTCATTCTTGTGTTTGAAAATGAGTTAATGAACTTCACAACAGCAGTCTATCAAAGAGGATGAATTTATTATTTTTCCAGAGAGATCCCGTTGATTATCTACACATCTCCTCCTCTCTGTGTTGCTGTTTAAAAGGAACAACCCCCCTATGCTGGTTTCTCAGGAGGTGTGTGCAGTCATTCCTCCGCCAAGCTGTACTCTCTCCCACTCATGCTCCCACTACTTCCAACACTTTTGTCACTGTTCCACCACCAATCTGGGGACTGCCGCCATGTTCTTAAAGGGGCAGTGAGAAACATTAAACCCGGATATAAAGTCATTTCGACATCAAAATAAAGCAAAACCTTGACATGAAAAATTACTTGTCATAGTGTGTCCAACATTTTGGAATAAACTGCATTTTAATTTTTTTAATGTAATATATCAAATCTTGACGTTGTTGATAGGAAATTCAGTTTAGAAGTGTATCATTTATAGTCTACACATCAACCAAAATGTTTTAATGAGGGTATAACCTACTTTTTTCCTATCTCATACTAAGTATAATTACAGTTTACTACAAAACCTCTTTAATTTAACAAAATAAGCCAAATGCATCCATTTTTTTGTGTTGTCTTGAATGTCAAAGAACATTGCCTGAATAAAACAGTCTAAAATGACCAAATTCAATTAAGAAATTATCATAGCTATATGCTAATTTGTACTATATAACTACTACCTTTGTATGTTTGTTTATAGTTTCTATTTGACTTGCTCGCTAATAATCTCTTAAACAGTGTCTTCAAATAGCTCCTCTGAAGGTTTTTCAAGAGCAAAATTATGTAAAATTTCTTAAAACAATTATATTAATGAATCTACTTATGTACAGTTAACATTCACATAAAAATACATCAATCAAAGATAAGGAAACACCACATAATTTATTCTAAAGTATCATGTCCCTATAGGAAACTAAACAGTGCTATAGAGTAAGAGCATCAATAATGCAGACATTTAAATTGAATTTCTACTTTTTTTTTTTTTTTTTACTTTATTATCACGAGAAGCATGACAGCCAATTTCATCAAAGTATTATTTGCTAGATGCATATAAATGTATGTGAATGCAGGTCGTAGCATTCACGAAGTTCAAACATAAATGAGCATACTGCGCACACGACAGAGTTTAAAGTGGGTTTTATTTTGAAAAACGTAACCGGAAGTCCCGTGTATTTTCTCCGTTATTAGCTTGATGCTAGTTTTCCGAGGCAGGTTGACAGCTGAACGGGTCGTAAAGGTACAGCAGCGCAGTCTTTTAACATTAACAACAACCATCACAGGCTCCCGTTTTTTTTTTTTAAAGTGAAGGCACCGACAGATTTCACCGTGTGACACCGTGTTTTTCTTTCGTACCAACCGGCCGGAGGGTTTGAGTTTATCGGAGGACGCTAACCGTTAACCTTTCGGATATTGTTTGTGCTTTTTTTTTTCTTTCCACCAAGAGAGAAAAAAGATCCGTGTATCCGGATGTGCCAGCAGTATTTGGTTTTTCGCATGGCGTAGGCACCTTTTCTAAAGCAGGATATTCTTGCTGTTTTGGAGGGTCGCAGGAGGCCCTCGGGTCGACAGCTTATCCCGTTAACATTAACTATAAACATACCTCCACATTTTCGCCGTTTTTCGTTGTTTTTTTGTGTGTGGGGAAATGATCAACGAAATGATTGTGCAATAAGAGAGGAAGGAAGCGTTTGTAACACCGTCTCGGCTACCTCAGTGTTGTGACTGTGGAGAGAGCAAGTCACCAGGAATACATTGTGTTTCCTGTTCTTAACCCAACAACGACGTGGTTTTAAAAGAGTGTGTGTGTGTGTGACTGTGTGTGTCTGGAGAGAGAGAGAGAGAGAGAGAGAGAGAGCTGCTCACAAGGGAGACGAAAAGAGGAAATATTTGTGTCCTTGTCTTGAGTGTGAGTGTGTGTGAACCCCTCCGAGGACCGGGAAAACCTTCACGATGACGGGCAGCACCCCAGCGGACATGGTGAGTTTTTTTCCACACCGTTTACATACATTTATTCCCTCCAGGTTTTAAGCCAAAAGAAGTGGATCAGACATTTTTTTTCTTCTTCAAAGCTGCTACTTCTGCTTACATTAATGTTATTTCGCCACGGTGTCGAGGAGATAGCTGAAAAGGGCCAGTGTCCTAGTGGGTTCCACTGTTGGGGTTGTGGATCCTCAAGTGCACCTTGGGAACGAAACTGTGGCACTGATATGGTTCTTATCAGTGTTTGCACAGTTTTACCTCCCTAATGTTTGCTCTCAATACAATACATACATGTTGTACAGTTTTCAACCTATTTTTCCTATAGATGCAGGCAGCCATTGGCTCCCATTGTGATTAATCTATCACAGTGTTGTGTGGTAAGAGCTTGTTACGGACAAATCCTTTTTTAAGTGATCATGCAAGAGATAAAACGATTGAACGATATGTCCATCGAGAATATTAATTGACAATTTTGATCATTTGTCGTCCAAATATCCAAACATTAGCTTTTTCCAGCCAAGTGTGAACCTATTGCGACATCACCCATTGGTTTGTGGAGTACTGTTTTGAAGCCTTGAGTTTGGCATTATGGTTGTCACCATGATAGGCTGTCAAAGCCAGCGGATGTGACGTACTTTGAGTTGAATTGTGCTCGCCTTGTCACACACAATCTCTCTATTACAGCCAAACTGTACACTGAACTATGTTTCTGAAGTGAATTTAGGTGAGAAATAGGCAATGCTTGCTTCATATATGATCAGCGCTGCCTAGTTTGACAGTTTGATCTGAGTTTGATGCGGCGAGAATGACCTGTCAATCACAAGGTAGCCACGCCAAAAAGCATACCCTGCTTTATCCTCTATTTTACTTACAAAATTAACATCATGCTGTATGGAAGAAGACTTGAAACTAGGGATTTAGACCATAAACTCTTTAGCAAACCGTTTACAGAGCTAATAAATCAAGTGAGAAGTCGGCTCATTTCTCCATAAGACTGCATGGTATTGGTTTGTTATTGCAGCCAATGGAGCTCCACCTGTTTGCCATTACATAGAGTGCAGGGTTAACCCGGAAGCTCTGTCCATTATATATGCTGTCAATGGTTTCAGCTTTGAAATGTGAGGGTTTGCTGATGGAAATTGAATACAACAAGCCTAGTAATAGATTTTCATATTGTATGGAAATGAATGGAAGACAATGGCATCCTGGAAAAGTAGACGAGATACATAAAAATGTCAAAAACAAAATGATTAGCTGTGATCTTAGGTATAAGTGATAATGCGCTAAAAGATACAAAACTACCTGGAGGCTCCTACAGGAACAGATTTAAAGGTGTGTAACATTTAGGAGGATCTATTGTCAGAAATGGAAAATAATATTCATGGGTATGTTTTAGTTTGTTGTGTTTTTGCTACCTTTAGAATGAGCTGTTTTTATGTACAGACGGAGCAGATGTTCTTCCACGGATCCACCATAGGTTCTCCTACACGCTTGGAAGGCTAAACTGTATTTAAATGATTACAGTCTGCAACCGTACCGCACGATACCACTAAATTCTACCCACTGGTCCTTAAATTGTTAGTTTGATTAGATTTGCTTATATTGGGATTATAGTGTAGTGTGGTCGTAAATGCCCCCTGAAATACTAGCATTCCTTTCAGATCTGTTTACTATTAAATCGAGGCTCTGTCACTTCACTGGTGTCTACTGTATATTTTATGTTTGACATTTTGCAAACCTCCAGCATCACAGAAAGCAGGAATTAAAGGAGACTGGAGTTTATGAAAAGGCTAGATGCTCTTCTGAGTGCACACTGACCGGTAACTGCATTGCTGCTACAACCTAATTATGTCATATCTGCTGATTTAGTGGTGGTACTTTAAAAGCAGGCTAAACTATGACCTGGTCATCATCAGGTGACTTTATTAGTTTACCCTGTCAAGACACTATCCTCTTGTGACTTTTATACAAGCTAACTGCTTGTGGTGAGTTTATTATGAACTGTTATGAACTCATCAAGATTTATGTCAGCCTGTTGTGGGTAAATTAAAAGGCATATAAAATGCGTTTAGTTGCATTTACCCAGTCTTAGAAATCATATTTCCCCCCCTGTCTGGCAGTTTTATGTTTGTCATCTTTGCTGCTAGTGCGTGGTGTCCCTAAGAATACTTCCAGGTCTATGTATAGAAAGAAAAAACCTCGTAATGTGCCCCTCCACAGAGACACCAGCTATCCCAGCTGTGCCTGTACTCCTGCATGTCCAAGTTCAGCTGATCCCCTGAACAGCAGGTCCATTATGTTGTCAGGATGTTGGGATAATACTGGGTGGAAGTTAGAGGTGAGCTGGCCTCTATGTATATGTGGTCCAGTCAAAGCTAAAGCAATAGCACATTGCAAGGAATTTCCATGGATTATGAACATAATCGTGACCCGAATCTTTCATTTTCTGACCTGATCTGACCGGTAGTTAAATCCTTGCGAATCCTGACGAACGTTCATAGAAGGTCTTGTGCTGTATCATCATCCGTGTGGATGTGTGAGGCTTCAGTCCCAGTTGTTATAGGTCAGTTTACAGTATTAGAGCTGTAGCATAAGATTATCATACAGCCAGAGAATTTGGGTACAAAGTGTCTTCAAGCAACACAGTGAATCCCTGCCAGCTGGTTTAAAGCTCAGCCTGATTTGTGCTCTGAGAATTTCCCTGTGGGGGAAGTATCACATTATTATCGCATCGTTTATCGCCAGTGTCGGGCATAAAGTTCATTTCTCCAATGGTAAAGTAATAATATTTTTTGCCAACTCTTAAACTTTGTTTCAAATTAGTTTTATTCTTGCTAGACCTGCTGGCCTTGGGCTCATATTATTAACATGCCTGCAGCATAAACATAAAGGTCAAATTCTGCACATAAGTAAGTTTCAGGATTTCGGCCAGCATAAATCTTCAGAACAATTGCTTCTTTTTGTGGCTTAGCTCAATCTATACATCAGACTACCTCCTTGTGTTCCCCAAGGAAAAGTGGGGGAAATATCAGCAATCTGCATTTAACTCATCCTGTGTGGTTGAAATCAGCAGCAGATGCAGACCCCCCCCCCCCCCCCCCAACTCTCTCTCAGTCTGTGGAACGAGCAAGTGAGTGTTTATGCACACACACTTATAAAGGCTGTATAGAGTGGGAGTGAGAGTAGGAGGAGAGGAGATTGCCGGTGCCAAACATTGTGGGTGAATGAATCTGAGAGAAAGAATAGGAGATTCTAGTATAGTATAGTCATGCCTCTTGAGAATGGAGGATGAGATTTTTTTTTCCCGTCTTGGAAAAAGGAGAAAAAAAAGGAGGGGTTGAGGGATAGGAAGAGTGAAGGATCGGGAGGGGGCAAATTGCCTCGCTCCAGGCAGACCTCAGATGTGCTGACAGGGTCGAAATGGTCCCCATGGCAACAGTGGGACGCTTGGATCTGAGGTCTAGATGCCCTTGTGAGTGTGTATGAGGATTGGGTTGGGGTGTACTGCAGGTATGTGTGTATGTGTGTTTGTAACAATGAGCAGACAAGACGGAGAGTAGTACAGAAGCAGTAGGAGAATAAAGCACCTCAGTACAGATAAGCCTGAATAAATACACTCCAGAAAAGACTGAGAGTCCCATGGAGCAGAGAGTGAATTTCAAACATCACCATCAAGACAGGGAGATCCAGGTACACACACACACACACACACACACACACACACACACACACACACACACACACACACACACACACACACAGAGGGAAGTACATAATGGTTCCAGTTTATCATAAGAGTTTAGCAGTGCCTTTATTGATGTTTAGTAAATAATTTACTGATTCCTCTTATATGGTATTTATTAGAACAACTTTTGGTTTAGCCTGATTTTAGACCTTTTAAATAGCAGAAAAGTCTGCTCATTGGGAATGAGTTGAACTCATAAAGGTAGTTTGAAGTAGAATTACAGGAATAGCAACTCTTAAATCAACATATTTCTTAGGTCAATATAACAAAGATTAAGTTAACTGCTCCTAGCAAAAGCCGCTGTGTCTGCATCGACTGAAAATGATTTTGACACGTTGGATACAGCTTCTGATTGATTAGAACAAATAACAACAGAATCAAACATAAAAAGACTGATTATCCCTTTGATAAAAAAAAAAATCTCTCTAATAGTTATAAATGTTAGTAAGTCATTAATAAAGATTAATGGATGTAACTAATGAGCCATCAATTCTGCAATGACAAATGTTACTAAAGCCAATAATAAATGTATAAAGCATAAAAAAAAAAAAAAAAAAACATTTTTCAACCTTTAATAAAAATACTAGTTACAACTTGCCTGTGTTGTATCAACATGACCGTGTGGCTTCTCCTCGAAGTGGTTACTAAAGGCGCACAGGCACGCATCTGATCCTGATAAATAATGAAGAAATAAACACTGTCACCACACGTACACACTCATACACACAAAGTGGGTAGTATTCAAACACCCTGTCATTTGTGCAGTGGTGAGTATGTGGTAATTCGTGATGGAGGTGGCAATCACAGCCACAATACTCAAACAGACCAGGAGGTACGACAGAACGCATTAACACTTCAACACCCTTTTTTGTTAATTGTTCATTGTTTGTAATGATTGGAATTTTTTCACTTGTGCACAACACATCACAATTTTGACTAACTTCTTACGCACCATCAGGTCTTATTGACCTAAAGTGTGAAGGATCATACACTCCTGACTGAGAAGAAACCAAAGAATGCTGCACACTCGATCACTTGTACTCACTTCATCATCAATATTTCATGTGTGGGCTTCTTTGGTTCCTTCACTTGTTACAATAAATATTGTGCGTTGTTATTTAGCTTTTAATTATCTTATTTTATTATTAATTAATCTGCCAATTATTTCCTCAATCTATAAATTAGTTAGTCTATAAAATGTTTAAAAGGTGATGTTTTTCAGTCCAAAACCCAAAGATATTCAGTTCAGTAT